AAAAAAAAAAAAAAAAAAAAGAAGTCTTGCTGACCATCCTCACTCAGGCCAGGTCATTCTATTCACTTTTGCCATCCCTCCAGTATATATTTATCTAGCCTCATATAAATTATCAATAATTTAAAAAAAATTTTTTAGTGTTTATTTATTTTGAGAGAGTGCACATGAGCGGGATAAGGACAGAGAGAGAGGGAGAGAGAGAGAATCCCAAGCAGGCTCTGAGCTGTCAGCATAGAGCCCAATGTGGGGCTCAAACTGACGAACTGTGAGATCATGACCTGAGCCAAAATCAAGAGTCCTATGCTTAACCGACTGAACCGCTCAGGTGCCCCAAATTATTAAAAAGTTTTTTAAAAATTTATTTCTTCTCTATGCATTTTCCTCTCATTTTTCGCTTATGTGTGTATCCAGCCACTTAAATAGTCATATTCAGACTGACTTCCACCCACTCACATGTTCATATTTAGACTGAGTTCCTGAAAGGCTGGAAATGTTTTTACCTTCTATATTTTTCTCATTACATGCACCATCGTACATCTCTAAGGAACAATGACTGCCTTGTTAGATTCCTTTTATCACTAAAACTGAACGCTGCTTCAGGAATAAGAAGTAGATTTTTTCCATCTTCTAGAACCTTAAAGCCAATGAAGAGGGCTGGTTCCATGGACATAGTCATCTCTTTTTCCTGCAGTTCCACTCTTTTTCCACCTTACAGGCTGTATTCATGGGTGAAATCTAAAATACCTATAAGCTTGCCAAATAGTTTGCAAAAGTCTGTTGTACTTCTCACTGTTTCAATGCTAATGAATGTACAGCCAGGAATTGAAACTACTTTCCCATGGTCTGAATTTTTCCTTGACAGCTGAATTCTTGCACTTTAAACAGTCTACAGACTCAGCTCTGCTCTGACTCCCAATATAAGGCCCTAAATAGAATTAGGGTTATCTATCCCCAAAAGATCAAAACTTTCAACAGATTCTAGACTTGCTCAGAGTTGTGCAGCCCAGTGACCTGATCAGTGAGGAACGAAGGCTTGTAGGTGCCATCAGTGGATGTATTTCCAGTTCCTCGCAAGGACTTCATGTGAGAGACTGCCATGCGTAAGATGGTTAGCTTGTCTGGTTTTCGAGCCAGGGCACTACAGGTGGGCACCATGTCTGACAGTTCTGTGATGTAGGCTGTCATCTTGTTCCGTCGCCGCCGTTCAATTTCACTGTGATTCTCCCTGCATGGGGGGAGAGAGAGAGAGAGAGAGAGAGAGAGAGAGAGAGAGATGCCCCACCCAGGTGGTCACATCTGGCCATCTGAGAGCAGAGAGAGTGATATAAATACCAAGTGAGCTGCTAAAGAACTATGGTGTTTAGATTTAGGAGTGCTTAAATCTCAGAAGGTAGAGTCACATCTGCCAACCTTCATGCAGAGCAATGGAATAGAAGCTAACAAGGCACACAGAAAATAAGCAGATACCAGCAATTCTATCTCCTGGTAACTTCACTTCCTCTGCAAGTTACCTGTCCATCAGAACAATAAAATATTTTATGAAATTATAGTCTGAAAGTCAATGTTGATTTTATTCACTTTAGTTCCTGAGACAAGTGATCTCTGCTTAGCTAATTCCATATTTACTAATTCAACTTTTTAAGGCTGAAAACAAAATTACCAGCTTTTTCCAACACAAGTATGTTGCCCAACAACTGATACAAGAATTGATAGCATAGATTCCTTTGGTCTATAAAATGTTGCTTGTTCTAAGCTTCTCTCTAACTCTCAATACTAGAAAGCAGAATTGGAAGATTTTGAAGTTTTATTTGTCTCACTAATGCACAATGTCCTAGTGTGTCTATCCGGGTGCCATGCCAGTGCACTGAGATTTTAAGATATCTACCAGAGGTCCTTTGTGGGTCCCCAGTTGGAACAAAATGAATCGGAGAGTGAAAGTGGAGTGGGGAGGAAAAGGCCTGAAAAGAGACAAGTTGGATCACATCTCCAATGCTGATTTCCTCAAATCAAGAGAGAATCTCATCATTGTTAAAAATAATCCAGTAGTTCTCACGGTGGATTTCTGAGAAGCCCCACAAAGCCTCAGAGACAACCAAACAACGTGCTGCGTTTCTGCTTCTACTTGAGCAGCTTTGCTTTATCTTTTTTATTTACTTCCATTACCACTTAAGGATCCTATTAAAAAAAGTTCTTTGTGTAAAAAGAAAACAGAAAACAACTGATCTAACATAAACTGATCTCTTTATGAGAAGCGGTTAAGCAGTTAAGTAAGTGACTTTCCCAAGGGCAGCACTCAATCCCAATGAATGCAATGGTCTTCCCACCATACCATGCCAAATCAGCTTTCTGAAGAGTGAAAGAGTTGGCAGGAAATGGCAACAAAATGAGCTTGTGGCCCAGGTGAAAAAGTAATGATAGACTGGGGCGGGGGGTGGGGGTGGGGGGTGGGAATGTAGTTGGTATCAGTGATCTATCTCCTACTGAGTGGTCCCAAATCACAGAAGCCAGAAAATAGAAAAACTTGGGTACAACATTAATATCCTAGTATTTCTACATTATTGACAACAATCTCCAAAGACAACTCTAGACTCTCCTTTCTAAATGGCAAAAAGATCTCACCACATAGGTCCATATTTGTTAATATCCCTGAGAAACATTCTACTCTCAAACTTAAAGCACCCATCCTCCTAGAATCTGACAGATTTCTAACACTGAAATCCAGAAGGCTGACCTTTTTTCTTTTTTTAATGTTTATTTTTGACAGAGAGAGAGGCAGAGCATGAGTGGGGGGTGGGAGGGGGGAAGAGAGAGAGGGAGACACAGAAGCAGAAGCAGGCTCCAGGCTCCGAGCTGTCAGCACAGAGCCCGACATGGGGCTCGAACTCACGAACCGCGAGATCATGACCTGAGCCGAAGTTAGACGCTCAACCGACTGAGCCACCCAGGTGCCCCAAGGCTGACCTTTTCAATAACCACATCAAGACTGTTAAAACTTTTCTGGGAAACCATGAAAAATTCAAGCACCAAAGCAAGGCTGTAATGCTATGACACAGTAATCTAGCCTGTGAGTCTACACAGGAAAATAAGGGTGTGCTTTCTAGAAAAGTGTGGAATAAATATTAAGGCCTAAATGTTGGGCACTAATTTCAAACACAGGTAAATTTATTAGTTTTTGGTTTTTTTTTCTCAAGTGCTTATTTATTTTTGAAAAAGAGAGAAAGAAAGAGAGAGGCAGGCAGAGGATCCCAAGCAGGCTCCACACTGTCAGCATGAACTCATGAACCATGAGATCATGACCAGAGCCGAAGTTGGATGTTTAACTGACTGGGCCAACCAGGCGCCCCTATGAGTCTTCTGATAAAAGATTATTTCCCTGCTGAAGCACCACCTGGTACAGCTGCCTCCTTTCTAAGGACTTTTATTCTGTGAAACTTAGTGCTAAGATAATGAGGAAAACAGAAAACTATAAAATTATTAGCAGTTACTTAAATTCCTCAACGCACCCACTTTCTGATTGGGGAAGCCAAAGTTCCTGTTACACACAAACTTCCAAAAGCTCTTGTCCTCTCTTGCCACAGATAAGGAAAAACACAAAGAGAAAGGGGAAGAAAACAGCAGAGTAAGAAACAGGAAGAAGCAGCAGCATCTGCTTCATCATGCTGAAAATACTACTCTCCTACCTGGCGAGTCTCTCTTTATCCGCAGAGCTCTGCTCATCATCCGACCTAAAAATAGAATTAATGAACTAAGCTAAAATAAAAATAAAAAGAAAGAAAAAAAGAAAGATGGATGGGTGGATAGAAGGAGAGGGGAAAGGAAAAGAAAAAGGAAATAGAACAAAATAGATGCAGAGAAAGGAACATTAAAATATGGACAGGAACCTTGCCTGTAACCCTACAAAAGTCATTTGTTAGGATAAAGAAAAATTAACTTACAGGACAAAGGTTGACATAAAAGCAAGGCCAATATTCATTATAAATAAACATAGTCTGAACACAGAAAGCACTTTGCCAATCTCTGTAGAGGCCAATGATATATATAGTTTGAACAAGAACCAAACAAGGGAAGACCATTCTCACACTGCTCCCAATTTGGAAATAAAATATCCATATATGCTATTCTATAATAAAAAAAATCTAAGAGGTAAATCATGATGAGAATATCACATTGTCACAAATGATCACAAAATATAATCTCTCTGTAACACAGACGCATACACATGCACTCACAGACAAAATAGCCAAACAGGGTTCTTTGGAGAAATTATACAAATAAAACTTAAGAATTAGGTTTCTGGGACATCCCATATCATTGATTTTGTAATTAAATAGTAAATTTCTTTTTTAATTTTTTTTTATTTTGAGAAAGAGAGTGCGTACGTGCACAAGTAGTGGGGAGAGGAAAAAAGAGGGAGAGGGAGGCAGGGAGGGAGGGAAAGAGAGAGAGAGAGAGAGAGAGAGAAAATCCCAAGCACAGAGCCCGACATGGCGGGGGGCGGGTAGGGCGGGCCTCAATCCCACAAACCATGAGATCATGACTTAAGCCAAAATCAAGAGTCATATGCTCAACAGACTGAGCCACCCAGACACCCCAGTAGTATATTTCTATTTAGTCACTCTCCCATTTCTTTGTTATAAAGCCCCAACACTGCTGGATCCCCAGTGCCAGCCCCCACTCCCCTGGAGGGGGCTACAAAGGATTACCACTAAGTTTTTCTGGAAAACTGAAATACTTTGAGTTGGTGGCAACTGAAGAAACATCAACATGCTGGTAGGCCAATGTATCAGTAATCAACTCCATTTTAAATATAGATAAAGAAGCCTCAAATAAAATGTCTACATAAGTATGACATATTAACAGGCTGAAAGATTATTCACTTGTGACATGTACCATGACTTTATCGGTACATGGGAAAGTTTCTATAAAATGCTCAATGAGGGTAGCCTGGGAGGCTTGTCGGTTAAGCAGTTAAGCATCTGACTCTTGATTTTGGCTCAAGTCATGATCTCATGGTTTGTGAGATCTAGCCCTATGTCAGGCTCTGTGCTGACAGTGGGGAAGCCTGCTTGGGATTCTCTCTCTCCCTCTCTCTCTGCCCCTCCCCAACTCACGCACACCTATGTGCACACCAGTGCCGCGCACACACACACACACACACTCTCTCTCAAAATAAACTTCAAAACAAAAATAAAAATAAATGGTCAACAGGAAGAAAAGATTCAAAATAACACAGTAAGAACAAAAATATAAAAATATACATATGTTGATAAGAAGCGCAAGAGAACTGCATTATATTAAGTATATATACTTAATGTTCATTGGGTTATTACAGTTCCTTAACAAACTACAAATATTTTTTTCAAAGATTTGAGAAAATACATACATTTTCAGTTTTTGAAGACCCTCTACTGAATTCCCAAGGAGGATATGTGAGGTGAACAGCGTAACAAATCCTCTCTTAGAGGAATGAGTTGTTTGAAAGAAAGTTAAATATCTAAAATTCCTATTATCATTATTCCTACTACTACAAATCCCTTTATCTACTCTCATATCTCTGAATGAAATATGTGAATGTATATTTATATTAAGTATGACAAATGAAAACTAAAATAATTCAAGTAATGCTTTCATAGCTTTTTGGAATTTCAATCAAGAGACTGTGAACCTGGGGCGCCTGGGTGGCTCAGTCAGTTAAGCATCTGACTTCAGCTCAGGTCATGATCTTATGGCCCGTAAGTTTGAGCCCCACATTGGGGCTCTGTGCTGAAAGCTCGGAGCCTGGAGCCTGCTTTGGATTCTGTGTCTCCCTCTCTCTCTCTGCCACTCCCCCACTCATGCTCTGTCTCTGTCTCAAAAATAAATAAACATTAAAAAAAAATTAAAAATAAATAAATAAAAAGAGACTGTGAACCTGTACCATCAGTACTATTTGATGGCTTGACTTTCTTTTTTTAATTTTTTTTTAAAGTTTATTTATTTAAGCAATCTCTACACCCAACAAGGAGCTTGAACTCAGGACCCCAAGATCAAAATTGCATGCTCTACAGACTGAGCCAGCCAGGTGCCCCTGAGGGCTTAACTTTCTAATGCAGCTCGAAAAACTGTTCCCCAAGTATCTATGACTAACTTCTCATTTTAGAGATGGTTCATATCCTGAAGTGTTTGCAAGGATCTACTTCAATAAATAAACCCTTTGAAAATCTCTTAAATTCACTTCTTTCCTATTGCCATTGCCTCCACTCTAGCCTAGGCACTATGATTTTAGAGCTATCTTATTACTTCAACAGCCTCCCATCTACTTCCCTGAGTACAGTGCTTCTCTTTAATCAATCCTGTACAGTGCTACTAGAGAAAAATCCCATACATATTTTATTTATTAAAATCTTTTATTCCAAGTCTATAATGGCATCTTACTGTTTCAGATAGTTATAAGCTACTCTGACATTTCTTAGCCCTCTACATCAGTGGTTCTCAAAAGTATGGTCCCTAGACTAGCAAAAAGGTAAGCACTGGATTTTTGATTATTTGTTTTTCTGAGGTGGCTGCAAACTCAATTAAGAAAAAGACCAATTCACTGTTTAATAATATACAGAATGAACTTCCTAAAAACAAAACATCTGACTTGAGAAGGATTTGTTGTTGAATAAAAGCATTTTTCATCATCTTGACAAAATTTAAAGAAATTTATTCCAATCAAAACTCACCTACACAAAAATTGTTTCTGTTGTCTTTTTTTTTTTAATATGAAATTTATTGTCAAATTAGTTTCCATACAACACCCAGTGTTCATCCCAACAGGTGCCCTCCTCAATGCCCATCACCCATTTTCCCCTCCCTCCCACCCCCATCAACCCTCAGACTGTTCTCACTTTTTAAGAGTTTCTTATGGTTTGGCTCCCACCCTCCCTTTTTTTTTTTCCTTCCCTCCTCCCCCATGGTCTTCTGTTAAGTTTCTCAGGATCCACCTAAGAGTGAAAACATATGGTGTCTGTCTTTCTCTGCCTGACTTATTTCACTTAGCATAACACTCTCCAGTTCCATCCACATTGCTACAAATCTGTTGTCATTTTTAAAAGAAAACTATTATCTGTACAAATTTTGTGGACCCATTCAATAAAAATGCAACCAAGAAATCCATAGCCTGTGTTCCTGTGGACACCCAGCAAGCACAATGTATAGCTACCTATCATATGAATAAAAACACTGTGTAAATTCTACCATCAGTTTGAAGCCATGTTACCTGAACATTAACAATAGCTGTCATACGTAATTCTGTCAGCTTTCAGAATAGGAAGAAGACTGAACAGAGAAATTAACTCTCAATGAGATCAAATTAAAACTCAATATGCTTGTTTGCCTGATTCCACAAGATGGCCCAAGATGCTCTACTACATTACCTGGCAAATCGCTCCTTATCATTAGACATCTGATCATCATCACACCTGAAGGAGAAAACTGGGATTAGCTCAAAGCATTATACTTGTTATCTATTTCATTCTGAAATAAAAACTAGAAAAGGGGTAAAAATATTCAATAGAAAAAAAAAAGCGCCAATGGAAAAGTATCACAAGGCAACAGAGACAGTAATAGCATCCCACAGAACTTAAAAAACCCACGACTCTTATTTGTCAGGTCTCTGATGTTCTCCTTTACCCTTATTTATCAAACACTCCAAAAAAAGATGATGACCTCATGAGGGCCCAGCTGACTGCCCTGTCAGCACCACTCTGAGGTTAGGGATAGTTCTGTTCTGTTTAATTATTAGGAGGGGGAGGGGGGACATGGAACATAAAAAAGGTTAAGATGGTAAATTTTAAGAGTACACTTTGGTAGTACTAACTATATTCATATTGTTGTGCAACAGATCTATGTAAGGTTCTAACCTTGTAAAACTCAAACTCTGTAGCCACTAAACATCATCTTCCCATCTCCTCCCCACCTGACTCCCAGCTCCTGGCAACTATCACTATGCTTTCTGTCTCTAATTTTAACTACTTTAGATACCTCTTATTAAGTGAGACTATACAGTCTTTCTGTGACTGGCTTATTTTACTTAGTATAATGTCTCCAACATTCATCCGTATTGTAGCATATGCCAGGATTTCTTTCCTTTTTAAGGCTGAACAATATTCCATTGGACATATATGCCACATTTTCTTTAGGTATTCATCTATAAATGGTTATTTGGGTAGCTTCACCTCTTGGCTATTGTGAAAATGGGGCAGCGAACATGAGTGTCCAAATAATCTCTTTAAGACTTTTATTTATGAAATAATTTTATTTTTTTAATTTACATCCAAATTAATTAGCATATAGTGCAACAATGATTTCAGGAGAAATTCCTTATTGCCCTTTACCCATTTAGCCCACCCCTCCTCCCACAACCCCTCCAGTAACCCTGTTTGTTCTCCATATTTAAGAGTCTCTTATGTTTTGTCCCCCTCCCTGTTTTTATATTGTTTTTGCTTCCCTTCCCTTATGTTCATCTGTTCTGTGTCTTAAAGTCCTCATATGAGTGAAGTCATATGATATTTATCTTTCTCTAACTTTGCTTAGCATAATACCCTCCAATTCCATCCACGTAGTTGCACATGGCAAGATTTCATTCTTTTTGATTGCCAGGTAATACTCCATTGTATATATATACCAAATCTTCTTTATCCATTCATTCATTGATGGACATTTGGGCTCTTTCCATACTTTAGCTATTGTTAATAGTGCTACTATAAACATTGGGGTGCACGTGTCTCTTCGAAACAGCATACCTGTATCCCTTGGATAAATACATAGTAGTGCAACTGCTGGGTCGTAAGGTCATTCTATTTTTAATTTTTTGAGGAACCTCCATATTGTTTTCCAGAGTGGCTGCACCAGCTTGCATTCCCACCAGCAATGCAAAAAGAGATCCTCTTTCTCCGCATCCTCGCCAACATCTGTTATTGCCTGAGTTGCTAATGCTGGCCATTCTGACACGTGTAAGGTGGTATCTCATTGTGGTTTTGATTTCTATTTCCCTGATGATGAGTGATGTGGAATATTTTTTCATGTGTCAGTTGGTCATCTGGATGTCTTCTTTGAAGAAGTGTCTATTCATGTCTTTTGCCCATTTCTTCACTGGATTATTTGGTTTTTGGGTGTTTAGTTTGATAAGTTCTTTATAGATTTTGGATACTAACCCTTTATCTGATATGTCGTTTGCAAATATCTTCTCCCATTCTGTCCGTTGCCTTTTAGTTTTGCTGATTGTTTCCTTCACTGTGCAAAAACTTTTTATTTTGATGAGGTCCCAATAGTTCATTTTTGTGTTTGTTTCCCTTGCCTCCGGAGACGTGTTGAGTAAAAAGTTGCTGTGGCCAAGATCACAGAGGTTTTTGCCTGCTTTCTCCTAGAGGATTTTGATGGCTTCCGGTCTTACATTTAGGTCTTTTACCTATTTTGAGTTTCTTTTTGTGAATGGTGTAAGAAAGTGGTCCAGGTTCATTCTTCTGCATGTCGCTGTCCAGTTTTCCCAGCATCACTTGCTGAAGAGACTGTCTTTATTCCATTGGATATTCTTTCTGGCTTTGTCAAAGATTAGTTAGCCATACATTTGTGGGTCTATTTCTGGGTTCTCTATTCTGTTCCACTGATCTGAGTGTCTGTTTTTGTGCCAAGGACTCTGCTTTCAATTACTCTGGATATTTATAACCAGAAGTGGGGCTGCTGAATCATACAATGATTCTGTTTTTAATTTTTGAGGAATCCATACTGTTTTTGACAGTGGTTAAATTTATCATTTACAGTCCGACCAACAGTGCACAACGATTCTCATTTCTTCACATCCTTATCTAACGTTTATTTTCTGTTTCTTTTTTTTAAATATTTACTTTTGAGAGAGACAGAGAAAAGAGGGCAAGTGGGGGAAGGGCAGAGAAAAAGGGAGACACAGAATCCAAACCAGGCTCCAGGCTCTGAGCTGTCAGCACAGAGCCCGATATGAGGCTCAAACTCACAAACCATGGCCTGAGCTGAAGTCAGATGCTTAACTAACTGAGCCACCCAGGTGCCCCTATTTTCTGTTTCTTTGATGGTGGCCATCATCATGGATGTGGGGCGGTATCTCACTGTAGTTTCTATTTGCATTTCTCATGACTAGTGAGTAGAACATCTTTTCATAATCTGGTTTGCCATCTGCGTATCTTCTTTGGAAAATTTCTATTCAAGTCCTTTACCCATTTATAATCAGGTTGCGTTTTTTCTTATTGAGTTGTGATAGTTCTTCACATGTTATAGATATTAGCCTCTTATCAGATACATGCTCTACAAATATTTTGTCCCATTCCATAGGTTATCTTTTCACTGTTTTAGTTGATCCACAGAAATTTTTAAGAGATAATTTTTAGTTATGGCTTAAACAATGCTCTTTACCGCTTTGATCAAGGAAACAATCCATTCATCCTAACAACTTTGGTACTTAGTAAGCAATAACTCATGTCTGCTAAATACAGAAACTACAGGATTTGTTGGGGGAGAGAAACCTAATTTTAAATACACTACTCTAGGAGTGCCTGGCTAGTTCAGTTGGTACAGCATACCATTCTTCATCTAGGGGTTGTGAGATTGAGCCCCATGATGGGTATAGAGATTACTCAAGAATAGAAATAAAAATCATCTAAAAATAAGTTAAAATTAAATTAAAAATAGAAACACTATTCTCTGGATCATTTAAATTTTCCTCTTCTCACTGCTACAGGATATAACAAAGATCTATCAACTTTGAGCTTTTGGGAGAAAGGTTAAGTCTCACGAAATTTGCAGTTAAACCAGTTATTAAATTAGAGCCAAGGGGCACCTGGGTGACTCAGTCAGTTAAGCAACTAACTCTGGCTCAGGTCATGATCTCACAGTTTGTGAGTTCGAGCCCCGCATCGGGCTCTGTGCTGACAGCTTGGAGCCTGCAGCCTGTTTCGAATTCTGTGTCTCCCTCTCTCTCTGCCCCTCCCCTGCTCATACTCTGTGTCTCTCTGTCTCTCAAAAATAAATAAATGTTTAAAAAAGAAATAGAGCCAAATTTATATTGTTTCTTCATAGGCTGTATATCCTCAACTAGTCCAACCTTAAGAATTTTCAGTTGTTGCAAATAACAGGAGGGGCACCTGGGTGGTTGAGTTTCTGACTCTTGATTTCAGCTCAGGTCATGATTCCAGGGTCATGGGATCGAGCCCTGAGTCTGGTTCCACGCTGAGTGTGGAGCCTGCTTAAAATAGTCTCATTCTCTCTCTCTCTCTCTCTCTCTCTCTCTCTCTCTCTCTCTCTCGCACGCGCTCTTTGGCCCTCTCCCCTGCCTGTGTTCTCTCTCTAAAATAAAAAAGGAAGAAAAAATTAAAAAAAAAAAATAAAAAGAACAGGAGAGCAGGAGAAGAATGGGCAAACATGAGATGTAGTGGAATTTTAGCTCAGGTACAAATGGTCTGTTCCTAGGACACAAGCACGCTTTAAATCAGATGCTATAAACTCCTGGTGAAAACATGTGACCTAAACTGAAAAAAAGACCTATAATTTATATACTAACTTGGAATCTCAAGATTGAGTCTTCTAGATCCTTACTACTTAAAGTATGGTCAGTAGCTGGAAGCAGCAGCATCACCTAAGAGTGAATCAGAATGCAGAGCCTTGGGCCCTACCCCAGACCTACTGAATTAGAATCTTCATCTTACCAAGAAATCCCAGGTGGCTCTGTACATGCATTAAAGTTTGAGAAGCACTATTCTAGACACTAGTAACTCTGATATTGTACCTAGAGTTTAAAAGCCTTGACATTCTTAAAAATTATGTTATAGATGTCTGGAGAATGTAACAAAATGGCGTTTGAACAAATCAATAGAAAGAAATAAATTAAAACTTTCAAAAGTAGCATCCACCAAGGAGATTTAGTGCTGACTTACAGAAACAATGCAAGTAAGGCTTTCATACATTGACCAGAGTGGAAAATTCCAATTGTTTAAAAAAAGAAAAAGAAAAAGAAAAAAAAGATGAAGAAATTTGGAGATGCCTCTCTCAGGCATTATGACCCACTTGGTAAAATGAACTGTGACAGTTTTTTTGTTTGTTTGTTGTTTTTTTTTTTTTTATGATTGGGGAAAGAAAAAATGAACTTTTCTGGATTGCATATCTCTTGTACCTACTAGATTTTTTGGAAATGGAGGCAATGACTCAGGGCCAGAGCTAATTGACAAGTATAAGTAAGACTAGTGGTTACCACTATGCCATTCATATGCACAACACAGTTCCACTAATAGCATCTATCATCATAATTAGGGATTCCCAATGGAAGAATTTCCAGAACTGTTTGAGAAAGTCCATCCTTCCACCAAAATTGAAATATCTTCCCCTCTTCACTTTTATTAATACTCATTAATTCTCAAGAGCTCTCTTGGAGAATTATTTTCTCCAATATTTTGAAATGATTTCTTTATGGTAGCCAAGTCATGGTTGTTGTTTTCAAGAATATCTGGTAGGATTCAGCAACTAGTAAGTAGTGAGAAATACAAGCCTAACTTTAAAAATTACTTTAAAAAAAAAAATAAGAAAGAAAATGAAAAAAAAAAATAGATGTCTCTGACTGCACTTAAGCATTATAAAACTAAACAATGGCAAGCAATTTAATTTATAATATGGGCATCCTCTATGCAAAAACAAAAATTAAGGAGATTATGAATATACATGCACACAAACACACTGAAAGACACTTACATATGTACTGAATATTTCTGGAAGGATACTCAATAAACTGGAAACTGTACTTGTCTAAGGGGAAGGGTCTAAAGTGAAAGGAAGATATAATTGCACTATATATAACTTTGTACTGCTTAAAAACTAACAACATATATTACTTTTTAAAGATTTAGTTAATAAAACAAATAAATGAAATCTGGACATTCATATTACACATATATTTTTTAAATACGGCTACTTTATTTATTAAATATTTGTCACTCAGCAAAGTAGACCCACCTACGTAACATTTTCAACTCTGGAAAGAAAAAAAGGCAGGTTGCAGGCAAGGCTATTTTCCTTTCTTTGATTCTTACTGCTTTCCTTACTTAAAAACAAAGCCAAATCATTGATCTTCAGCCAGAATAAGTATTTCTCTTCTCTGAAAAAACTCCTCCATCAATATATCGAAAAGTCCAGGGGGCACCTGGATGGCAGTCAGTTGAGTGTCCAACTCTTGATTTCAGTTCAGGCCATCATTCCAGGGTCTCAGGATCGAGTCCTGTGGTGGGTTCCAGGCTGAGCAAGGAGCCTGCTTAAGATTCTCTCTCTCCCTCTGCCCCTCCCCAGCTCACACTCTCTCTCTCAAAAATAAAATTCAAGGGACGCCTGGGTGGCTCAGCTGGTTGGGTTGACTTCGGCTCAAGTCATGATCTCACAGTTTGTGGGTTCGAGCCCCACGTCAGGCTCTGTGCTGACAGCTCAGAGCCTGGAGCCTGCTTTGGATTCTGTGTCTCCCCTCTCTCTGCCCCTCCCCTGCTCACACTCTGTGTCTCTCAATAATAAATAAATGTTAAAAAAAAAATTTTTTTAATAAAATTCAAAAAAGAAAAAAAAATCCATTTTCAGTGTTCCAGAAGATTCATCATTCAAGGATACAAATACCAATTCCTGGTCTGTAGAAGTCAACAGGTATCAGAAGGTATGAAAGGTACATTAATGACCCCCCCAAGGAATTATACCTTAGCTTCCTCCCACCCTGACTCAGGACTTGGATATAAGATTTGCTTTGGCCAATGGGACACAAGCAAATGTCAACATAAAGCAAAGGCTTGCTAAGCACTTAGACTGGGACTTGTCCTTTAGATTGTAGCCAACAGCATGTAAAAAAACTCTGACGACCTCCTTAAGGATAAAAGACCACAAAGAAAACACCATAACAACACAGCCAATCCACAGCATTGTGAGAAACTATAAATCATTATTATTTTTAAACCACACAGTAACAGATAACAGAAACAGAGGGCCTTAGGAATTCTCTGCCCTCTCTTCACTGAGCTCCTTCCCTTAGAGCCATTAACAAACTGCTTTAAAAAATTATTATGAGTTATAACATAATAGGAAACTTTAGTTTTAGGATGAAGTACTCTCCTTAGGCCTAAGGACAAAAATATTACAAGTCAGAAATATCATGAACTAATTTTTGTGTGTGTGAACTAATTTTTATTATCAGAAATCTAGAGAAAATTTTTCAAAATCTTACCTCAAAAATTTACTGTTCCCTTCTCCATCATCATCAAAATCCAACCTGGAGAAAGCCAAGAGTAAATATTATAAGCCTAGTGCCAATACAGAGCATTATGAAATTAAAAATTCTCAACCCACAAGCTATCTGAACACTCACCCAAATGGAAGAAGGAAAAGAGGAGGTGTACAGAAGTGACTTCCTTGCACTAAACTGGGCAATCAAAAGAGTACCCACTGCTACCTTACATTTTCCTAAGTTGGCAATCCACCTTTGCCAAAGTTTTACATCAGAGTACAACCTCTACCAAGGAACAGGAATCCACTCAAAAATCAAAATGAGAAATTAATATGAATAATTCAGGTCCATTTTTCATTTCTGTGAAAGTTTTTAAAAGTTCATTTACTTATTTTTGGGGAGGCGGCGATGGGCACAGAGAGGAAAGAGAGAATTCCAAGCAGGCTCTACACTGTCAGCACAGAGCCGGATGTGGGGCTTGAACTCACAAGCCATGAGATCATGAACTGAGCCAAAGTCAAGAGTCAGATGCTTAACTGACTGATCCACCCAGGTGCCCCCATTTTTCATTTCTATAGGCTAAGCTAGGTTACCAGCTTTCTGAAACATATCCCAAAACAGTGATGATACATAAGGGAGTAATTTAATATCTCAGAAAGTTATCAAATAATGCTTCTTTCCATCATACATCTAATAAACATATAATATATGCTACACTCAAGACAATGCTAGATGAGAAGAAAACAAGAGACTTGACCTCAAGGGACTGTCTATGTAGACAAAAATATAAAACAAGTGAGAATAGGAAAGTGCCATGTGAGAAGCAAAACCAATATGCTATAAGACATGTTATTTAGTGAAAGCAGCAGTGACTTTCAAGGGATTAGGAAGATTATAGGTAACAAGATAGGACAATCTCCTATTAATCTCTGTACTCTATTAAACTAAAATGATACCACTTTAACCCAGTGACCACTCTTGGCATCTCTACTAGTATCATAACCTCACATTATGAGTCTCTAGATGGGTTATATACTGGGGTGCTTAGGTGGCTCAGTCAGTTCATTCCTCTTCCTCCCTGTAGCCCCCTAATCATGTGTTCAAAATCTACCTATTAACCCAATAACTCCATTTCTAAGAATCTATCCTAAGGAAATAACTCAAGAAAAAAAAATTTATATACAAAGATGTTCACAGAGCATTTATTTACATCTTCAAAACAACTTAAATGTTCCAAAATAGGAAACCAAGTACATCCTCTTATATAACTATGAAAAATTATATTTATGTAAAATATTTAACAACAAGAAGAAGAAAAAAAAAGGTTATATATGGTTAGGTGAAAAGACCAGGCTATATAAAACTGTATAATTAGGGTCGCCTGGGTGGCTCAGTTGGTTAAGCTTCAGTCTCTTGATCTCAGGTCTTGATCTCAAGGTTGTGAGGCCAAGCCCTGTGCACTGGGGCTCTGCACTGGGCATGGAGCCCACTTAAAAAACAAAACAAGGGGCGCCTGGGTGGCTCAGTCGGTTAAGCGGCCGACTTCGGCTCAGGTCATGATCTCACAGTCCGTGAGTTCGAGCCCCACGTCGGGCTCTGTGCTGACCGCTCAGAGCCTGGAGCCTGTTTCAGATTCTGTGTCTCCCTCTCTCTCTGACCCTCCCCCGTTCATGCTCTGTCTCTCTCTGTCTCAAAAATAAATAAACATTAAAAAAAAAAAATTAAAAAAAAAAACAAACAAAAACAAAAACAGGGGTGCCTGGGTGGCTTAGCTGGTTAAGTGTCTAACTCTGGACTTCGGTTCAGGTCATGATGATCTCACAGTCTATGAGACTGAGGCCCACATTGGGTCTTCTGTGGCCAGCACAGAGCCTGCTTGGGATTCTTTCTCTCTGCCCTTCCCTGGCTCATTCTCTCTCTCTCTAAGTAAATAAATAAAAACTTAAAAAAAATACAAAATACAAAAAAAATCTATATAATTATATGATTACAACTACTAAAAAGATCTACATATAAAGAATGAAGGAATTACACTAAAAAAAAAATGATAGGACATGACGTGGGGCAATAGAATTATTGCTATTTTATTCTTTCCATCTTCCAATCTTTCTTTAAAAGAATGTGTATTACTTCTTTTAATATATTTTCCTGATGGGGCGCCTGGGTGGCTCAGTTGGTTAAGCATCTGACTCTTGATTTTGGCTCAGGTCATGATATCATGGTTCATGGGCTCGAGCCCCATGTCAGGCTCTTCACTGGCGGCATGGAGACTGCTTGGGATTCTCTCTCCCTCTCCCTCTGGCGCTCCCCTGCTCATGCTCTCTCACACACGTTCTCTCAAAATACATAAATAAACTTAAAAATTTTTTTTCCTGATTACAACATACATTCATTTCAGAAAATCTAGAAATTAAAAACAAGAGAAAAAAAATCCCCCATAATCTCATCATCTAGAAATCTGATGAGCATCCCTTCAGTTTTGCTACGCACACGTTATACATATTTCTTCCTGACAGAGTGATGTATTACATAAATTGTAACCTTCCAATATATTGTGAACATTTTCCTGTACTGATACATATCTGTCACTTCTAAAGTTTATTTTTTATCTTGAGAGAAAGAACACACAGGTGCGCGGGAAGGGGCAGAGAGGGAAAGAATCCCAAGCAGGGGCTCAACCTCACCAACTCTGAGATCACAACCTAAGTTAAAATCAAGAGTCAAACACTTAGTTGACAGAGCCATCTAGGCACACCGTGTACTGATACATACTTGTCACTTCTAATAGCTATACAATACTCCATTTTCAAATATAATACGTAATCCCCTAATTTTGATATTTATATCATTTCCAATTGTTTGCTATTATACAAAAACATAAACTGTGTTTAAGAGAGTGTACTCTGAAGCTAAACCCCCTAACCTCCCAAGGTTCATATCAAAGATCTTCCATTTACTGGCTTTAGAACCTTGAGTAAGTTACTTATTCAGTGAGTTAAAAATGTGTAAAACTCTTGGAGACGTAGCAACTCTTAAAATGTTACTCATGTTACCACCTAAACCCAGGGATCACTCTTGCATTACTATTAGTGGGTGAAATTTAAAGACTAGTTGTAATACTGGTTCCACAGTTTTTAAAAGGAAAGAAAGAAGAGAAATTTAACACCAAAAAATGGACAAAATACTACCAATTCTCTCAGGCTTTTCTAAAGCAACCTCTTTTCTGAAGCTTTTCCAATCTTTACTAATTATGGGATTTCCATACACAAAAATACACAGTACTGTAAGCATTCCTTTCTTAGCAAACTTGGCATATTCTACCTTGTACTCTATTTATATGTATAATGATTATTCCCTTCAGGACATAAGCAACTTAAAGACAAGAACCGTATCTTATTTATCTTTGTATCATACTAGCAATCAGCACAATATCTTATACTAATTAGGCAATTAATAAATACTTCCGGAAATACATAAATACATACACGCTTCTGGAAATGAATGGACTCTGCATTCCAAACCAAGCAACATATCAATACCTTAGTGGAGAAATACACTGCAGTTCAGCATTCTCTAATTTTGAAAATGCAGACACAAAGTTTAAAGAAAACCGAGTTTTCTCAGCAACCATGAAATCTTTGGGCTTTGCAGACATTTCTGGTTTTACTGGTTTCACTACTTTCAGGAAAAGGAGGCATTTAAAGCAACAATCATAAGGATACTCACTGGGCTTGAGAAAAGAAGCATCAGTGAGACCCTTGCAACAGAGATAAAAGAATTAAAAAAGAATCAATCAGAGATGAAGAATGCAATGAAAAAGATTGGAAACAGACTTGATGCAATGAACAGGAAGCTGGAAAAAGCAGAAGAATGAATTACTGATCTAGAAGACAAAATAATAGAAAGTAATAAAGCTGAACAAAAGACAGAATTATGCAAGACAAGAATAGACTTAGAACTCAGGGACTCGATCAAACAATGGTAACATATGTATTATAGGAGTCTCAGAAAAAGACAGAGAAAAGGGGGCATAAAATTTATTTCAAGAAACAAAAGCAGAAAACTTCCCTAATCTGGAGAAGGAAACAGACCTCCAGATGCAAGAAGCACAAAGAACTCCCATCAAAATCAATAAAAGGACAACACCAAGACATACTGGAATTAAATTTGCAAACTATACTGATAAAAAATACTAAAAGCACCAAGACAAAAGAAGTCCTTAATGTACAAGGGAAAACTCATAAAGCTAGCTGGAGATTAATCAACAAAAACTTGGCAAGCCAGAAGGGAGTGGCATGATATATTCAGTGTTGAATGGGAAAAATCTGGAGCCAAGAATACTCTAACCAGCAAGAGTCTATCATTGAGAAGGGGAGACAAGAGTTTCCCAAATAAAAACTAAAGGAGTTCGTGACTACTAAACCAGGCCTACAAGAAATATTAAAGGGGATGGGGCGCCTGGGTGGCTCAGTCGTTAAGCGTCCAACTTCGGCTCAGGTTATGATCTCATAGTTCATGAGTCTGAGCCCCGTGTTGGGCTCTGTGTTGAAAGCTCAGAGCCTGGAGCCTGCTTCGAATTCTGTGTCTCACTCTCGCTCTCTCTCTCTCAAAAATAAATAAAAACATTTAAAAAAAAAGAAATATTAAGGGTGACTCTTTGAGTGCAAAGGGGAGATCAAAAGTGATAAAGGATCAAAGAAAATCTCCAGAAACAACAAAGCAAGCAATAAAGTAGCAATACACATCTACCAATAATTACTTTGAATGTAAATGGACTAAAAGTTCCAATCAAAAGATTATAGGATGACCGAATGGATAAAAACCAAGACCCTTGGGGGTGTCTGGGTAACTCAATCGGTTGAACATCCAACTCTTGATTTTGGCTCAGATCATGATCTCCCAATTCATGGGATCCAGTCCCACGTGGGAGCAGCACGGAGCCTGCTTGGGATTCTCTCTCCCTCACTCTCTACATCTCCCTGCTTGCAATCTCTCTCAAAATAAATAAATAAATAAACATTAAAAAAAAACTTAAAAAACAAAACAAGACCCTTCTATATGTTGCCTACAAGAGACTCATTTTAGACCTAACGATACCTGCTAACTGAAAGTGAGGAAGTGGAAAAGCAGCACACACATGGATATCAAAAGAAAGAGTAGCAATACTTATACCAGATAAAGTAGACTTCTTTGTTCTTGTATTGCTTTAGTCCTGCTTTGGTATCAGGGTAGTACTGACCTGGTGGAATGATTCTGAATGTGTTCCCTTTATTCCATTATTTGTAAGATTTTGATGAAGATTGTCATTAATTTTTTTTTTTTTTTTTTTAATGTTTGGTGGGGTTTGCCGATGAAGCCATGTGCCTCAGGTTTTCTGTGCTGGGAGATTTTTGATTCCTAAATTCAACTTTCATTCACGTCAGTGATCTAAGAAGACTTCCTACTTGTTGCATTCAAGACTCATAATTCAGGGGCGCCTGAGTGGCTCAGTTGGTTAAGCGTCTGACTTCGGCTCAGGTCATGATCTCACAGTTTGTGAGTTTGAGCCCCGTACTGGGCTCTGGGCTGACAGCTCAGAGCCTGGAGCCCGCTTCAGATTCTGTGTCTCCCTCTGTCTGCCCCTCCACTGCTTGCACTCTGTCTCTCGCATTGTCTCAAAAATAAACATTTAAAAAAAAAATTTTTTTAATAAAAAAACACTCATAATTCAATCTTGGTAACTTGTATGTTTTTAGGAATTATCTGTTTTTGTTTTTTTCCTAAATTATCAGATTTGTTAGTATATAATAGTTTATAGTAATCTATGTTATCTATTGTATTTCTGTGGTTACCCGTTGTATTGTTTTCTCTTCCATTTTGGTACTCATTGTAGTTTTTTTTTTTTTTAATTTTTTTTTTTTTCAACGTTTATTTATTTTTGGGACAGAGAGAGACAGAGCATGAACGGGGGAGGGGCAGAGAGAGAGGGAGACACAGAATCGGAAACAGGCTCCAGGCTCTGAGCCATCAGCCCAGAGCCCGACGCGGGGCTCGAACTCACGGACCGCGAGATCGTGACCTGGCTGAAGTCGGACGCTTAACTGACTGCGCCACCCAGGCGCCCCAACTCATTGTAGTTTTTGAGTCTTTTCCCCTTAGTTAATGTTAAAATAATTCCAATTTTGTTTACTTTTTTGGAAAAACTGGTCATTACTTTCAATGTTATGCTACTGTTTATTATGGTCTTTATTTCTGATTTTTCTTTGTTATTTCTTTCATCTCCTAAATTTCAGCTATGTTTCTTTTTTTTTCTAGTCCTTTGTGGTGTAATGTTAACTTGTCTTGAGTTTTTAATACAAAGATTGACAGCACAAATTTCACTCTAACATCTGTTTTTGCTGCATCCCATAAGTTTTGCAATATTGTGTCTTCTTTTTTTTTGTTTTGAGACATATTTTCATTTGCCATTTGATTTCTTATTTTGCCCACTGCTCATGCAGTTGTGTGTTAGTTTTTACATATTAAATATTTAACGTAAATTTACATTGTAAATTTTCCAGATTTGTTTTACTGTTGATCTTTGGTTTTTTGCCATTGTGGCTGGAAAATACACTTGGTATGACTTCAGTTTTCTTAAATTTGTAATATTTGTTATGCCTTTTCTTAAGTGAATTAACCAATGGATTCTTCTATGTGTACTTCTATGTGTACTTGAAGAAAATGTGCACTCTATTTTTCTTGGATGGAATGTTTTATATATTATATCTTTTAGAACCATATATTCTCAAGTATGCATCATTAAGAAATGCTCTTTTTGAAAAAAAAAAAACACTTTAACTCAGGGTACTCATTTAAAATAAAGCATATTGGGACATAGGGTGGCTCAGTCAGTCAAGAGTCTGACTCGTGATTTCGGCTCAGGTCATGATCTCACAGTTCGTGATATCAAGCCCTGCATCAGGCCCTGCACTATATTCCACTGAGTGTGGAGCCTGCTTGGGATCCTCTCTCTTCCTCTCTCTCTGCCCCTCCCCTGCTCTCTCTCTCTCAAAATAAATAAATAAACATTAAAAAATAAAATAAAGCATATCAGAGGGAACGTGGCAGGAACAGGTGAAATAGGTGAAGGGGATTGAGAGTACACATATGATGAGCACTTGAGTAATGATGTACAGAATTGTTGAATCACTATATTGTACACCTGAAATTAATATAACACTATATGTTAACTATATAATAATTAAAATAAAAAACTTAATAAAAAAAATTAAAAAAAAAACCTGCACAAAAGAAAGTTAGATAAAAATGTTAATTCTGTGTAAGGAAAAAATCCAGGAACTAAAGAAAGATATCTGACAGCAGTGTAGTAAGTAACCAGTTGAAGTGAAAGGGTTAAGCATAGCCAAGAGGATTCAGCCACTAACTAAATCAGGCTGGCTTACAGGAGAGACACTCACAACACATGATATCCAAACTCACCCTGATCGCCGCTTAATAGCCCTGTGGACAATGGCTCCTCCACCTTGAATCCCAGCCCCAGGGTTTCCTGAGGCAATGGCTGGACCCAGTGATGGTACATCTGATGTCATTTCTATCAAAGAAAAATGGAAATATACATTTAAAAAAGATAGTCCTGTCTTCTTATCATCATCATCATCAAGTTAGCTTCTTGGAAGAAAGGCTCAAGCTATGGGTAAATCTCAGTAGTTTGCTAGAAAACCCTTATGCTCATATCCACATTGCTCTTCTTAAATTCTTACACTGGTGAAAGTATACATTCCCTACTTCACTTCTCCCTGCTTCACAGAGTTTGGAAAAGGGAGTACTATATTCTATCTGCAGCCTTTACTTTAAAAAAATTTTTTTTTTCTTCAACGTTTTTATTTATTTTTGGGACCGAGAGAGACAGCATGAACGGGGGAGGGGCAGAGAGAGAGGGAGACACAGAATCAGAAACAGGCTCCAGGCTCTGAGCCATCAGCCCAGAGCCCGACGCGGGGCTCGAACTCACGGATCGCGAGATCGTGACCTGGCTGAAGTCGGACGCTTAACCGACTGCGCCACCCAGGCGCCCCAGCCTTTACTTTTAAAAGCTTGTGAGGGGCGCCTGGGTGGCTCAGTCAGTTAAGCGTCCGACTTCAGCTCACATCATGATCTCACAGTTTGTGGGTTCGAGCCCCACATCGGGCTCTGTTCTGACAGCTCGGAGCCTGGAGCCTGTTTCAGATTCTGTGTCTCCCTCTCTCTCTCTGCCCCTCCCCTGTTCATGCTCTGTCTCTGTCTCAAAAATAAAAAATAAACAGTAAAAAAAAAAAAAAATTAAAAAAAAAAAGCTTGTGATAGTGACATAATGTTAATCTAAAACACACACACACACACAAAATTAGTTTATACATTTTACTCATGCAGCAAACATGTAACATATCCTTTCACTTATTTTATTTGGAAAATGAAAAACAAACAAACAAACAAACTGGAATTCTAACTCTACCTAGCAATATAACAAAGCCTCACTCACCTTTCTCTTCCTAAAGTGCTGCCAGTGAAAGCTGGCTAAAACAGGTTTAAATGAGATCCAATGTCACATAACACAAGAATATCCAAGCTTCAATTTAAAAAAAAGAAAGAACCATTCATCATACCAAGAACCAAGAAGATTTCAAATTGAATGAAAAATAGCAATCAGTAGATGCCAACAATATGGCATAAATGTTAGAATTATCTCACAAGATTCTAAAAGCAGCCACAATAAAAATGCTTCAACAATTACTAACACAGTTGAAACAAATACACAAGTTGAAAGCCTCAGCAAAGAAAGTCTAAACAAAGATAAGATATAAAGAAGAATCAAATAGAAATTTTAGAACTGAAAAATAACTGAAATAAAGTTAAGTGGATTGATTCAACAGCAGAATAAAAGGAACAAAGAGAAGAATCAGTGAAATGTAAGACACAACACTAGAAATTACCCATTAGAGTCCTGAAAAAGAGAAGAGAAAGAGGACAAAGCTGAAAAATAATATCTGAAAAGTTCCCAAATTTGTCAAGAGATGTAACCTACAGATTCAAGAAGTTGAGTAAACCCCAAAAGGACAAACCTAAAGAAATCCATCCCAATACATAACAATTAAACTTCTAAAAAGTAGCTAGAGATAAATGATACCTTACTTATAGAAGAAAAATAATTCACAACAGCAGAGTTTTCATCAGAAACCATGGAGACAAAAAAATGTGGCATGATATCTTTTAAAGTTAAAAAAAAAAAAAAAAAGTCAACCCAGAATCCTACACCCTGTGAAAATATCATTCAGGAACAAAGGAGAAATCAACACAGTCTCTAATGATTTAAAACTAATGAGCACTTGCCACCAACAGACCTATCCTAAAAGAATGGCTAAACAAAATTCTCTAAACAGGGAAGAAATTACATAACAAGGAATTTTGGAACACAATACATCAACATATATCAAAGAAATAAAAAAACACACAATATGCAAAAATATGGGTAAAATCAATAGGCTTTCCTTCTCCTTTGAGTCCTCTACATTATGTTTAATGATTGAAGCAAAAAAATACAACACTATCTGTTTCTAAATGAATACAGAAAAAATAATTAATACCAATTACAAATGGGGATATTAAAGGGTGGTAAGATGTCAACACTTAAAGTGTTAAAATGACACCAACAGACTGTGATGTTATGAGACATAATGCAATGCTCACTACAGCAATTACTGGAAAAGGTATACAAGGTGATACACCAGCAAACATAAACAAATCAAAATGGGATTCTTACTTAAGATTTTTTTTAGGTTTTTTGTTTGTTTTTTAGTAATCTCCATTCCCAATATGATGCGGCTAAAACCCACAACCGCAAGATCAAGAAATGCACACTCTTCCAACTGAGCCATCCAGGTGCCCCTCAAAATGGAATTCTAAAAAATGTTCAAATTACCTACAGGAAGGCAGAGAAAAAAAACACAGAAATAAAAACCCAAACAAACAGAAAACAAAAAATAAAACAGCAAACTTAAGCCCTAACATATTAATAATTTTATGTAATTAATATAAATATACCAATTAACAGAGATTGGCAGAGCAAATTAAAAAACATAACCCAACTCCCAACTACATGCAGTCCACAAAAAAGTTGCTTCAAATATAACAGCAGAGACAGGTTGGAAGCAAAAGAATGAAAAAAGATATATCATGTAAACACCAATCAAAGGAAAGCAAGAGTAGCTATATTAATAATCAGATAAACCGACCACAGACAAAGCACATTATATAATATTCAAGCCACCAAGAAGACAGTTGGTATGTATGTACCAAACAACAGAGCTCCAAAATCTGTTAAACAAAAACTGACATAACAGAAAGAAGAAAATAATTATAGTTGGAGATTTCAACACCCCTCATTCAACTGACAGAACAATTAGACAGAAAATCAGCAAAGATTAAAAAAAAAAAAAAAATGACAGCCTCAACGAACAGGGTCTAATTAAATTTACAGAAAGATTCCACCACACAATAGCAGGTACACATTCTTATATTCTTTATATTCTGTCCCCAGACCAAGATAGTATAAACAAGAATATATCCTGAGCCATTAAAACAAACCTCAACAAATTTACAAGAATGAAATCACAGATTGTATTCTCCAACTACAATGGAATTAAACTAGAACTCAGTAACAGAAAGAGAACAGGAAAATCACCATACACTTGGACACTAAACACTTCTAAAAAAATCAATGAATCAAAAATGAAGTCTCAAAGGAAATACAAAGTACACAGAAATAAAATATGAATGTAATCACAAAACAGTAAAATTTGTGGGACACAGCAAAAGCTGTACTTAGAGACAATTTTATTGTGCTAAAATGCTTATAGTGGAAAGAAGAAAAGTCAAATAATCTAAGTTTCCATTTTAAGAACCTAGAAAAGAACAAAATCAGGCAGCCTGGGTGGCAGTTTGGTTGAACGTCCAACTCTTCAGCTTGGTTTCAGCTTGGGTCATGATCCCAGGGTGTTGTGGGATTGAGCACAGGCTGAGTGTGAGCCTGCTTAGGGATTCTCTCTTTCCTCCGTCCCTCCCCCACTTGGGCTGTGTGGTCTCCTCTCAAAAAAAAAAAAAAGAACAAAATAAACCAAAGGAAGTAATAGACAACATAAATCAATGAATTTGAAAACAGAAAAATATTTTATTTTATTTTTTTTTAATTTTTTTTTCAACGTTTATTTATTTTGGGACAGAGAGAGACAGAGCATGAGCGAACGGGGAGGGGCAGAGAGAAAGGGAGACACAGAATCGTAAACAGGCTCCAGGCTCTGAGCCATCAGCCCAAACCTGACGCCAGCGGGCTCCCGAACTCACGGACAGCAGATCGTGACCTGGCAGTCAAGTCGGACGCCTTCAACCGACTCATGCCACCCAGGCTTCAGAAAAAATATTTTAAAAAAATAAATAAAAAGCTGGTTCTTAAATAGATCAATAAAATTGACAAGCCTCAGACACAAAAAAACCACTACCAATATCAGAAATGAAAAGAAGGAAAAAAAATGAAACAAAAAAAAGGGATATCACTACAGACCTTGAAACCAAAGAGATAAGTGGTAATTCTAGGAACAACTTACAAATGTAAATTTGACAACTTGGACAAAACAGACAATTCCTTAAAACAAAAAACAAAAACAAAAAACAAAACAAACTAAAACACCTGACCCCACATAAACAGATGACTTGAATGATCCCACAATTATTAGGAAATTGAATCCATAATTTAAAGACTCTCAAAAAAAGAAATCTCCAGGTCCAGACGGAATGAATTTTACCAAACATTTTAGAGTTAATATCATTTCTACACAATCTGCTCCAGAAACTGGTTGAGAAAGGAGACACTAATTCACCTTATGAAGCTAGAATTACCCTGATACCAAAACCAGGCAAACTCACTACAAAACAAAGCAAACAAAACTGACAAAAGCTAGAGCTCAGGGGCACTTAGGTAGCCCCTTGGGTAGTCAGTTACATCCCAGTTCATCCGACTCTTGATCTCAGCTCAGGTCTTGATCTCACAGTTGTGAGTTCAAACCCCACTTTTGGGCTTTGCAATGGCTGTGAAGCCTACATAAAAACAAACTAGAGATCAATACTCCTCATGAAAAACAAATACAAAACTTTTTTTTTTTTTTTTAGTTTATTTATTTTGAGAGACAGAGAGTACACACATGTGAACAGGGGAAGGGCAGAGAGAGAAGGAAAGAGAATCCCAAACAGGCTCACGCTATCAGCAAGAGCCCAATGTGGGGCTCAATCCCACGAATGGTGAGATCATGACCTGATCTGGAATCAAGAGTCATATGCCAACCAAGTGAGTCACCCAGGTGCCCCAAGGAACAAAAACTCTACTACTAACAAATAAAATTTAGCAATATGCAAAAGAATTATACAACATGACCAAATATGATTTATTCTAGAGAAGCAAATACTGGCTCAACATTTAATTATCAACCAACATAATCCACCATACTGCCAAAGAAAAATAACAAATGATCCATCAACTTATGCAAGAAAGCATTTGATAAAA